GCTGTTTTTAGCAGTTTCTTCACTTGTTGGGCTGAGCAGCAAACAAAAAAATCAACACATTATTTGGCGATGGACAAACAATGGTATTTTCTTGTATCTAAATTAAGAGGGGATTTTCATGCAGTGAATGATACCTGAATTTTGAATATCAAATGGAAACAAAAGAATCCTGATGGGTCCATTTTATAAATAGTATGACAATAAAGCTGGAGCTGCTGCCTCCCAAGAAAATGGAATGATGCCATGCCCTGTTCTGCGTGAAGCCCACAGGCTAAGAAAGGGAGAGGGTGCAACATGTGTAGAGGATATAGAAGGGAAGGTGACTTTAAGACTCTATATACCCGCTCTGCTGGATTTGAGAGGAGAAAAAGTGATGCCAGAGCTGAGGCCTATTCAGCAATGGGATCATAAAGGTGTTTCAGGATCATTCCTGCCTGTGTGAAAACCATCTGTTGGCTGTAGCCCAAGATGGAGTTTCTTCTTTCATGTGAAGCTGACCCATTTGTGAACCTGTGTTCCTGCCAATGCTCCCAATGTGTAATAATTTAGTTGGAGAAACTATAGCTGAATCAAGGGCAGGGGGAGAGAAACAGCCGGATTTTGTCAAACAACTGGCAGGAAAGTCATCTGCCAAGTGCACTGTGTACTGTGAGGTAGCAAATAAGAGGGAGAGAGAACTCCGAGGACCAATGAGCCTGAATTTTAAAGACCTGATTGATGTCTTGAGCTGTCTGCCTGAAATTGTGTCTGCTCTCAGGGTTAGAAGGAGGAACTGAGTGAAGCAAAGCATTTTTAAAATGCTCCATCCTACAGATTTTTAGAATGATGCTGCAAGGCAGCCCTGCCACATACTACAAAATAGACCTGGTACATATGAGCAAATGGATATGGCTCCGGCTCTGTCGTGGTTCTTCAGTTCAGAACCTAAGTAGGTCACCCAGACCTTCTCTGTCTGAGGGTGCAGGCCTCCAGCTAAACCATTTTAATTTGCTTCACAAACCTGGATTTGAGAGCTCCAGGTGACCATTCTCCCCTGAGAGCACAGATGCTGCAATCCCACTGCTGTGTTTAGAATCTGTGCACAGTCTTCCCAGAAGCTGCAGTTCAAGCTGAATCCTGAGAAAGGAAGGGGTTTGTTCTCATTTATCTCAGCCTAACATCTGGCATCATTTTGGGGTGTTTTTATTTTCCAAATGTCAGCAAAGCTTCTCAAGTTACCATTTAAGCAACTGAGTTTCTACAGCTCAATGAGCTAACTTTTTGAAAGCCCTTACTTTAGCTGATATGGTTAATGGCTGGGTGCAGATCTTCTCTTTCCTCGGGCTTGATAACTTTCCAGAGAGCTATATTTTCTCCTCTCCTCTGTGGAGTGGCTGTTCATGAGGTTTCATGTTGCTTTCCCAATCAGGAGTTAGGCTTTTCATCCCAGGATTTTTGGCAACATCTAAATTGCAGTGTTCAGAAATCACTTGGAGCCAAGGAGGCTGACAGATGTCTGGTTCCTGCAGCATGTGTGTTCCAATAGCATGTCATAACATGAGCCTCTGCACAGCAAAACATAGCCCAGAACCTCTCAGAGACACTACTGCTTCCCCCACAGAACAGAACAACACTTAGCAAGTCCTTAGTGAAGGTACTTGGTGAAGATACTCGCCTGCAAGGGCTGAGTATAGTATCTTACTGCTGTGGATAGCCTTGTTGGCTTTAATGGTACTGTCCAGGGCCAGCAGAAGGATCTTAGGGTCCCAGAACACTCCTATAACTAATCAATTCGCTACTTCATAGGAGATAGGCAGAAATGCAGGCTCAGCCTCAGCCAAGAGGACAAAGGCTAGGGCAGCATGGCACTCAGACAGCTTCAGTTTAGGTAGGGTGGGTTGGGGGCAGTGGCCACTGAGGGGGAGCAAGTAGTTTCTGGGCAGTGAGTGGAAAGCCTGCTAAAGATTCGAGCACTGCAGAGAAGGTAGCTTACATGGCAGGAGGTCCTGGATTACTCCTGAATAGCAGAAACAACAGATAGAAGAGAGGGCTCTGGATCCTCCAGTTTCTGTAACACCAGAGGCTGGAATATGTCTAGGCTGCTGACTGAGCCGTGGACAGTTTGGTGTTGGGAACCTCTCCCATTTCCACAAGACAGTCTATCATGCAGTTTATTTGCCTTCTCCCTACATGATCAGAATCATGGGCAGACCTTTGTCTCATGATGGGACTCCCAACCCTGAGTCCCTATTCCTGTGGGTGTAACAGCTGCCATTTTACTCCCAGTACCATTTACTGTGTCTGTACAGGACTGGACCCAACACAGATTTAGCATATCTATCCTATTCTCTGCTCACTGCAGCACTAACCTGGAAAAGTGCTGCATCAGAGCAGAGCAAACAAATTCCAGACTCCAGCATACCTGGGAAAAGAAAGCCAGGGAATACTGTTGTAGCAGGCTTACCTTTTCGGAGCTTGGGTTGAGTCCCAGGATCGAGGGTCTGCTGTTTGATTGGTGGAGCCCGCCCACCAATCTGGAGGCAGCACAAGGGAAGCAATGCCCCACCCTTTTCCAAAGGGAGGGGGCAAGGAGCAGCTGGACCTGGATGGAAACTGCACCAGCCAGGTCCGGAGAACTTTGGGGGTGGAGCCCGTGAAGAGGATAAAAGGGGAGCGTGCTCAGCAGGCTGGAGAAGAGATGCAGGGAGGGACTTAAAAAGAGTGGAGTGAGAAAAGCTGGGGAGCTCTTCCCCTGCAGGCAATAGGCCCAAGGCTCCTGAAGCCATTACTGGAGGAGCAGCCTTGGGAGCAGTGCAAGACTGCTTGGGCTATGGACGGTGTCCAGGGATGGTGCATGGAGACCCAACCCTGGGAGCAGCATGAGACCACTCATGCCCATCACGGTACACAGTTTGGTGTGCAGAGTCCAGGCTTTGGGAGTTGCAAGTGGCAGTTTGAGCCTTCAACCCCAGCAGGTGTCTGGACGTCATGGTGTGCATTTCGGCACATAGCGTTAGGGCTCTGGGAGCCGTGAGCAGTAGCTCAAGCCTGCAACCCTGGAGGGCTGGCAGGTCCCACGGTGCACAGTGCAGCGCATGGGCCCAGGCCCTGGGAGCTACAGCAGGGAGGCATAGGTCCATAACTCCGGCAGGTGGCCAGGCAGGGAGGCACGCGAGTGGTGCATGGAGAGCCGGCCCTGGGAGCAGCTCGTGGCTGCTCAGGTTAGCCCCAGCTCTGGGCCAGATAACCAGAGCCCCGCAGTGTGGCTCAGCATTAAACTAGAAGAGCCCTGGGGCCCTGAGCAGGGCCCGGGAAGGGGAAAGACGCCTGGCGTGAGGCTGGGGAACTGGAGCCAGTGAGGGCTTAGCTCCCTTAGGAGCTCCCTGGGTGCCCAACGCAGGGCACAGGGCCCAGAGGGAAGAACCCTCAACTTCAGGCCAATGGCTCCAGGAGGCCTGAGATGGTGTGGGGACACAGAGGCCAGATCGATAGCCCCCAGAGGAAGGACCATGAATTACTGTCTGTTTGCGAGGTCAGAGATGCTCATTCAGTTACGTGTGTACTATTACATGTATTACGAGTTATTGTGGTAGCACTCGCTGTGGTTTGTTTGGTTAAGTTCTTACTCATAAGAAGAAAAAATACTCCCAGCAGGCTGATGACTGGTCTGCAAATAGCTAATAAGAGGTGAAACCTTAACCTAAAATTAACACCCTTCTAGGTAAATGGAAATTTTAAAAATCATCTTTCAAATGTAAATGATTTACATTTGTGACTGACTAAACGATGCATGTAAGTGAAGTCCCCAGCCCTGTTACTCTCCCTTAGTTCCTTTTTTAACTTGATTTGTTCTGATTTGAGATATAAGCATTTGTGAATATTTGGCCCTTATCACAGATTTGTAAGAAACTGATTTTAAGAAGCAGTGACCTGTATTGTGAAGCTGCTAAGGTATGTCCCTTTCAGGGATGTGTGAAAAAGTGCAAGGGATTCATAATTATCTGACATTCATGTGCAGAGAAGATTGTTCAAAAAAAGTATAACCAGACTGGGAATCTATGGAATGCAAATCAGGCCTTATCTACCAGGGCTCCATAGGCAACTGTGTCAGTGGTGCTGGCAGAAAGCCTGAGTGCAAAGAGAGCACACCAGCATAAGCCTTGATTTGTACCCATGCAGGTCACGCTGGCTTGCCCTATGTCCATGTTATATGTTTTTGCCAGGGACTAAAAACTGCAGGACAGCCTCAGGTGCCTTACAAATAGATCCTGATCACAAATCTGCCTTCTTTAGCAGCTCCATTTTTTTGCTGCAGTAATATATGGCCCACACTCCATCTGGGGTTTGAGGGCACCATCTGTGAGTTCTATGCATGCATTTTAGGATTCAGGCTTCATTCTTGAGGTCATTTCAGATGCCTTTACTGAATAAAAACAGGATGGTGCATTTGATTAATGCTACAAAATGTACTTTTCTCACCACTCTGGGCCCCTCTGGGTCAAAAAAAGGTATATTGCTTTGGGGTGGGTGTGCATGGGCTTGCACTTGCCATGACTTTGCAAAATAAATGGAGAATTCAGTCATTTGGCCATGTTTTTTTGGTACCTCCCACCCCCAACTTTACATTTAACCCACGCTCCAAAAGATGGACAATCACCAGGAAACAAATTGCAAGTTGACCCAGAGGCTGTCCAAGTTTTAATGCTAATGAAGGGGTTGAAGGGAAGCCCCTAACCCTGAGAGAGCAGGGTGGGGTTTTTGTTCCCTAGGTGCTTAATCACAGAAAAACAAATGTTGCAGTAATGGCATTGGCTAACTGCTCCAGCCTTAATAAGTTGCAGGGGAAGGGGATTTTATATGGATCACGTGTAGCTAGACGGCATGGAAACCCATGGGTTCTGAAAGTGCAAAGTCTATGTTGATAGCATCCATTTTAGGCGTATAGTAAAGCAGGCTGTTTAATCACAGGGTCATTTTAAAGCACTAAACTAATGAGTTGCCAAAATCAATTTCTCTTGCAGCCTGAATTTCAGTGGAGTCCATCTGGCATCTGCTGGGCAGTTTAGTGACTTCCTGGGGAGTATGGGTCCTGCACAATTTGTTGGTCGTCAGACCTTGGCCACCACCTCCATGGGTAAGGAACATGAAGGCATAAGTTAGTTTACAATGAATACTGCATGTACTGTTCCCACAAGCCACCCCCTGATCTGCTCAGCACCTGCTCTTTTTTAGGTTAAATAAAATGTGCTTGGCTGTTAGGTTTTGGTGATTAGCGTCTTACTGTTTTACTGCTACATTAGCAATATCTTTCCTTATTCCTACAATGTCCTTCAAGTATGAAAGGCCTGACCTAGATTTACTGTGCATCCAGCCAGTGTATCCTGTGCATCTTCATAATTCTCTGATTCTCTGAAGCATGTAAACTCCCTAAGGATTTTCTTATGGTGCATCAAAATTCCATTTTCAAAAGCATGAATGTAATTCTAGGTGCCTCTGTTTTGGACAGATTAGAGGCTATATGTCACTTTGGAAACAATTAGCCTGACTGACTAGGGCTGTGATTGAAGGGCTGCAATTAGAGGCCACTTTTGCAAATGTGGGCTTGAATCACCACTGAGTTACTTCAGAGTAATGCAGGGGAAATCAGGCACTTGGACCTATATTTTTATTAAGTGGTCTGTTAGCACTCAAACTTGTTAAAATGTGCCCTGTGTCTCTGATTCTGTCTAAATGTTTTTGGCTTGTTGTTCAGGGGATGTGGAAATTGGCTTGCAGGAGCGAAATGGACATCTAGAAGTGGATATCATACAGGCCCGAGGACTAACTCCAAAGCCTGGCTCCAAAACTCTTCCAGGTATGTGAGTGTTTTGGCCTGCTTGAAGTCACTGACAGCCACCTGAACCCCTGCCTTCTGAGTTGTGTCTCAGTAGGTAGAATAATGGTCCTGGCCTAGCACATTTCTACTCTATACATTTTCTTGAAAATAAGATGGAATGAACAGTGAATTCTTTGGTTGCTGCAAGATGCTGTTTTCACAGCTGACAGCAGAGAAAGCTGTATCTCATCAACTCTGTGACTGCCTGTTTTTCTTTCAGCTGCTTACATCAAGGCTTATCTATTAGAAAATGGAGTGTGCATTGCCAAAAAGAAGACAAAAGTGGCTCGCAAATCATTAGACCCACTATACAATCAGGTGTTACTGTTTGCCGAGAGCCCGCAAGGCAAAGTATTACAGGTAAGATGAGCAGCTCTGGGAATGACAAGAACCAGGTCTTCCCCTGTCTACGCTTGGCCACTGCCACAATGTACTGAGTTTAAAGAATCAGAGTATTTGAGAACAATGGGGAAAATATTTATGAATAGAAAACTTACTAAATCAAACACACTCAATCTAAACTTGATTAACACAGTATGAATAAACCCCCCTACTGAGTATAGCAGGGCATGTCTACATGAGATGTTTACTGCACAGTTGACTAATTAACTCCACAGTAAACATCTCAGCATCTACACGTGCACTCCGATTAGGGCACATGAAACCAATACATTCTGCAGCAGGGTAGCACTTGTAAATACAAGTACTATCCTGCTGCGGAGTTTTTTGTGTGCAGCAACACATATAGATGCTGATCTGGCTGGCTGGGGTACAGGGTGCTTCAATGCTGGGGCTGCTTGCTGACTAGCCCTGCATTCAAGCACCCTCGTGCCCCAGCCAGCCCCTCCTGCAACACATTGAGCCTAGTCAAAGCAGCTCTGGGTTGGCAGGCTGACCCCCAGCAAAATGTGCTATGGTAAAGGTGTACATGCAGCTGCACTCCCAGGAGCTTCCTGGAAGCAATAAACTGCAGAGAAATAAGCTTTGCAGTTTATTGCTGCCCTCTAATGGCACATGTAGATGGACCCACAGAGAACTAATATAATGATTATTTTTTCAGTTGCCCTCTATAGCTATAAACCCTGTTGTATAACACCGGCATTTGGTTCTACTAATAAAATATTCACTTTTTCCCATTGCCGGGTCTATAGTATATGAATGAGTAGCATGCATGTGTGTAAGCTAAGGTTTATTTTCTTTGTTTATATAAATGAAGTTTGTAGAATCCGCCAGAACTATCTCCTGATCAAATGTCTTGTCTGCTTCCACATTTGTCTTTTACTGCCATATCCTTGCAGCTCTAAAATGCCCACTTTTAATATTTCAACAGCTTTTGGGGGAAGAAAATGTTTTTTATTGTCAATTATCCTCTACTTGTATTACATGCAATCAATCCTGGCTAATGGTTTGCTGGAAACATTGCTGTGCTGGACTTCAAGTTTCTGCTGCTTATCTCCACTGAAGGGGAGAATACTGCTATCCAGTCAGATCCCAGATGTAAATGAATTGATCCTGGTTCTTACTGGTTAGAAGGAGTTTTCTCTTTCAGATAGTATATGCAGGTATCTGCTGATTAATTAACTAATTAGGGATCTGATTTCCCACTTTTCCAGCCAAGTAAGGGCCATGCAAGCAACATTTTAGCAAAGGAATGAGACCTGTATTTTGATTTGCGTGGGGTTGGGTCTCGTTTAGCCTCTTCTCCTGAGACTGGTTCACAGCTGGGCTGTCATGAACACACTGCCTCTGGGTGAATCTAACCCTGAGCTGCTTCATCTGCATTGCTCCCCTGCAACAGGGGTGTGTATGGGTCGGAGGTAGGAGTGAGGTAGCCAAACCTGGGCTACAGTAAGGATTGTTTTAATATAATCCAGGGAAAAAGGTCAGCCAGTGGAGATCGAAGTGGACCTGAATGTAGTGGGCTAATAACAGCCTTGTCTCGCATAAGACACTGCCTCTATGTGGCACAGGTACTTAACTCCATGTAGAAAGAGGCAATAGTCCAGCTGCTTCTGGGGGAGACCTTCTAGATGTACATAACATTGTCTATTCTGACTTGATCTCAGCTTCAGAAGTTCAGTTTGATTGTTGACCTTTGCCTTGGTCAGAGTTGCCCTCCGTAATGGTAAATCCTGGTTTATCCACACCCTGTGGGTGACTGGGTGTGTCATTCAATTAACCTAAGCTCCAGTTTCTGAATATTTGTGCTCAGTGCTGGTGGGTTCAGGGAAAATCACTGGGGAACCAGTAGCAAACCAAGAAAGCCACCAAAAATCTGTACTTGAAGATATTTCATGTGCAGCACTGTTAGCTATGTTGGGGGTAGGACTGTGGGAGTAGTGTACTCTGAGCTAGGTGCTGCTAAGCAGGGGGGCCAGGCACATCCCTCAGTGGCGTTGCTGTACCCAGTCCCATTTACATTGATAACTGTTTAAAACACTGTAATGCATCACTGCAGCTTATTCAAAGAGAATAAAAAGTGGGTTACACTCTGTACCTTGCATTCACCTCAGCCAAACTACTTGACTCCAGTGCCTAGCTCCCTAAATAAAGCTTTGACTTTTAATCTGGCCTGTATTTTTTCCCTCCTCCTCATTGATACAGATAAGGCAGCAGCTTCAGCTTACACTGAGAGAAAGCTGCACTGTGCTGCTAACACAGGGAGTAGGGGAAGAGGAGGTTAAGAATTAGCCACAAGTCACCATTCACCTTCATCACCATCACCATGATGCTCATCCTCTCGTCTTCGGAACAAAGACCTCACTTTGAACTCACCTGTGTCTTGAGCCAAATAGGTCATGCACAGGTTCCCAGTGTGTTTTCTGCCGATGCTGCTTGCTGTGCCTGTTTCACCCTCCACTGGTCTCCATTGTGTTGTAAGTGTGATTCAGCTTTCACCTTGGCTTGTCTTACCACTTATTTCTAGACCTTCCTCTTAGCATTCAAGCCTTCCCTCCTAGCATGTTACCCTTTCCATTCTTGTGATGCCACATGCATCTTGTATCGCTAGGCCAACTTGCCAAGGCTAAGCTTCTGCCTTGTCACCGTGTGAGTAACCATGTCTCATCACCATATGCATGTTGCACAAAGGCAGTGTTTGCTCTTCATGCTGCCATTTAACTCTCTGTAAGCCAATGCCCCACCTTGGTTTTTCTGTTCAATACAAGCATTCTGTCTTCTCTCTGCAAGCCTCTTCTGGCCTGCTTATTTAGTCAAGCTCCACTGTAATGCCTGGAAAGAGAGAATTTCAAATGTTTATATAAACAAACACATTACCCCCCTGAACAACCATGAGATTTGCATGGATATCAGAGTAGGGGATGTGCCATGCTAAGTGCTCAACAAATTCCTTTATCTGTCACCAGAGGCAAAGACTTTTGTGGGTGATGTCTTTTATTGGACCAGTTGCATGGTTGGGATAAAGTTAGACAAGCTTTTAAATGCAAAGCTTTCTTCATCAGGTCACCCTCATTTATCTGTCACCCTCATTCATATTGCATAGGACCTTGTACCATGAGTAGTTCCACCAATTATAGTGGGAGTAGTCATGGTACAGCTTCCTGTGAGTAAGTATATCACATCTGCCTCTCATTTTAGCAGATGAAAAAAGAGCTTGAAATCGCCACCTCCTCTCCTCCCAAAATTCTTTTGATTTAAAAAAAGGCATAAATTACTTAACGGTTTGAAGGAGAAATGTACTTCTGGTACCAATGCAGTTGGGATTCTGGCCAATGCAATACTATAAGAGAAATAGAAAAGATGGGTCCAGGTTTCACATTCTGATTTGCATCCATTATTGTCATTGAAAACATATTAGAACCTATAGATTCCCAAAAAAACAGAGGCTGCATTGTGGCCAAGTACAAATATGCAGTAAGAAATCCAAAGAGTTTACATTTGCAAAACATACCACATGTTGGACCCCCTTCACTTGCACAAGGGATCTCTGAAGGGAACATGCCCCTATTCAAGCAGAAGGGTCTGCCTCTGCAGATCAGCATGTAGAACGATGGTCTAAACAGACAAGGCAAACTAGGGAAGGAAAAAAGCCATACTGTTATCCCCATTTTATAGATGGGGACTTCATGCATGCCCCTTTTCTAGTGCTGCAGCATTTGTTGCACACACTACAGGAGCATGTTTAATAAATACACATGTACATGCCCATGCATCTGTGTATGTGCAAACATGCTCATTTTTAATTAATAAAACAATTACTATTTTTAGGATGCATAAAACTACCTCAAAACAAACAAGCAAACAAACAAACAACATCAACCCTGCCCCCTTCTCATGACCTAAATCACCTGGCTGTAAATTGGTACCATTACCCATGCACTGCAAGTATATCTTGATAAGTTTGATTTACACCCTTTAAGATACAGCAGTGTGGATTTAGGATTCTGTTTTCCACTGTGTAAAAAATAGATGTTGGATCCAGAGCCCATTTAAACTCCAAGGGAACCTTTCCATTGACCATAGTAGTTACTGGATCAGACTTAGTATGAACCGCTTTTTCAAAAGAATGTATGACTCTCCTCTCACTTTATTTGAGAACTAACCATGTCCCTCTTGTCTTGTTTCCAAGGTGATAGTCTGGGGAAACTATGGACGCATGGAGCGCAAACACTTCATGGGAGTAGCCAGGGTTCTCTTGGAAGAACTGGATTTGTCAACCTTAGCCATTGGCTGGTACAAGCTTTTCCCGACCTCCTCAATGGTAGATCCCACTACCGGTCCACTCCTACGCCAGTCCTCACAGCTTTCTCTGGAGAGCACGGTGGGACCTTGCTGTGACAGGTCTTAATGAGTAAGGAAAGGGGAACTGCTTCTGTTTTTTAAACATGCTGTCAAGGTTTTGTTTGCTGGAACTCTGACCTCAAGTGCGGTGCATGTTCAATCAGTTCTTATGGAGCTGGAAGAGGAGGATAACCCAGTGACCTTAGACAGAAGACAAGGGAGAGGGCAGTGCTATCCTCTCCATCTAAGTTGGAGGTGCCATGGGGCATGAGTCCTAGTTGTCAGTTATCCATACCCCTCATGTTTAACTTCTCTCACAATCATTCTGGCACCCTTATTACAGATCACCATTTACCCTACAAAGTCACAGCATCATTTTTTTTGAGCAGGGAAGGTATTTTAACTTTGTACTTTATGAATTTCCAAACCAGACTTTTCTGGCATTGCCTGAAAGGTTCAGATGCAAACATCTGATCAGAAGAGAGCAGGGATGGCAAGCTTTTATGGGAGCTTTGTGTTTTTTATACAATCTTTCTCCTTAAAAATGAATTAATAAAAAAGGAACTCTTTCTTTAGAATAAATTCTACATCAAAGAATCATGTTAGTTGTAAAACAATTGTTGGTTTGTTTTTAAACTGTGCCAAATTACCAGCAAGTGTCTTTAATACATTCTTGGCTAACACTGCTGACGAAGCATATTTGATAGGAAAATGAATAGAGCATACTTTACTCAGACCAGACAGTTCTAATGGAGGCACTTAGCATGATAATTAGCTGCAATTTTGCTCAGAGAAACACTGAAAGTGGGAGCTGAACATCAGACTTTCAGTTTGCGATGTGGCTTACTAGCATGTTGTCAGATAAAACATTCCACAGTTTACAAACTCCTTCCTTTTTTGCCATGCATCCCTTACTCTACCTTCTGCATTCTGTCCATCTTTTCTGTGTACTGGTACATATCTTATAAAGTGCTACCCTTCTTCTGCCAACATGTCATGCTGTGAGTTAACCGGAAATAATAGTTTTATTCAATGACAGGAAAGGGTGTGATATTTCTGGGAGTGCAGCAAAGAGAAACTCAACTTTTCATCTTGTAAGGGGTTCTAGAGAGGGACTCAACTTGTCCCCTTCCATGCTTAAAGAAGGCGGAGTTGCCCAAGATTACCCTGTTAATACACAAGCATTGTTAGGTGTATTGAAAGAGGAGGACACTTTTCCCAGAGTGCAGAAAGAGGTGGTGGCTGGGGAATCTAACAGATGCTCTAGTCATAACATATGTAGATTTTGCTTTAAGGACAGCAACAGAGAACATCCATTGCTAGCTGTAAGTAAATGCAGGTTAACCCTGTAATGTATATTCTGTAAGCTGCTGAGCAGACAGTAGCTGCTGTTAAAGAGAGTCATATATACTAGAGCAGTGGAGGTAATGTGCTATTTGTATTAGATTGTTCAGGTGATACAAAATCTTATGCTTGGAAACACCCATTCCCCAAAGCCAAGGAGAATTTTTTAGAAGGCTGACAGATTTCATGGGGTTTTCTTTATGTGGGCCTTTCTGCTAGATTTCTTGTCATAATTTTTAATGAAGATTTGGTGGCTAGTGCCTCAAAGTAGGTGCAAGGAAATATTTTGTTTGGTGATTTAAGAAGCCGAGGTCCTACGTAATGCTCAGGAACCAGCAAATTCCTGACTTGTCATTGAAACACACTGGATGTGTCAACATGTGGACCACAAATATGTCAGAATATAAGCATGAAGTTTTATAGGATGGAAAAAGTGCTTGTGGTGATTGCTTGTCTGTGGCATTTTAAATTTATTTTGAAGCAATTACAGAATAGGTGCAAAAATAATGGACCCAACAACGAGCTCTGTAAAAACTGATATAATGTAAAAGGGGAAAGGGACATAAACCTAAGAATTTTAAGAGTCTCAAGATAGTAAAGTTTCAACATTTCAGTCCACTCTCTTAATTTCTTTGGTAAACTATGTCTCTGGCCTCACTCTAATTATTTTTTCCTAATTGTATTGGACAATTTCTGTATATTAGCTGACAAAAGTTTGTTGCATGCTGGTCAAACTATGTTGTGACTCTTTTTAAAAAAACAAAAAAGCACATTAACTGTAATTCAAGTCAACACCTTTTCCTCTTGGTATGTAGTAAGTACTAGGCAATATTGTACAATATGTGTATGAACTAGAATAGATTAGGTAGATTTAGTGGTTTGTAGCACTGGATCTTTTAATAACTACGTCTTTAAAAGGACTATGGGAAAATACAAATACATTCCAAGCCTGATAACTGAATGGCAGGGGTCCTACATTCAGTTATTTAGAAAACTTTTTATTGGTATATGGTTTGGACATTATCTACCTGTATATCTAGTTAGTCACATTTTACCTATGTTCATTAGTATGTATGCAACTTTTTGAAACCTTTAATTAGGAGTTGGGGGATGATATACACCAAACTAAGTACCTTCAAGAAATCTCCTTTTGGGACTGGCTTTGGTCCTCCATGAACAGGAAATTCCACAGGGTTTTGTCCCCCTCTCCAAAAACTCTGCAAGCTCAATGTGATCAGTTTAGTTAAAAATAGGACTTATACAACTTTGACTGTCTTGTCTATGTTTTTTATTACATTAAAAGGTCTTTGTCAGGTTAAATTCTTATTCTATAAATTGTATTTCCTCTCCTGTGTTATTTTATTAACACCTGATATTATGAAAACTGAAACTAGTTTTCACCATCTGTTTGATGCTGTGTTGTTTATCTTCTGTTGCTCTGGGATCAGGATAGTGGGCTAGTAAGTTTGCTTCTGTTTCTTGTCAGTTTCACTTCCTGTTTCTTATGGACTAAGTCAATGTTGCAATGTCTGGTTCCATACACTGTAGGTCATACTTAGAGGCAAATAAAAAGTTTTCACTGAGATTAAAACAAAGCAGAACAAAATCACAGCAACTCTTCTAATGACTCATGTAGGCATAGAGATGAAGGGCAGGCCAGGTCCTTACAATCATAGCCCAAACTTCTCCATTTCTCAGGCTATAGAAGCTCACACAGTGGCTTCTGCATTTAACTTAACTCACTAACTTTGGGTAGAAGTAAAGGAAATATTTTCTAACCCCCAGTTTTTAAATAAAGACTCCAAGCGATAGAGAGTCCAAGCAGGGTCTTAAGCTTAGAAAAGCTTATTTTTGCCAAACCTAACTTTTTCATCCAACTCCAAGATAATATATGTGGTAGCTCTAACTTCTGCTCTGGTCAATTAGAGTTTGTAAAAGTAGCAGTTGTCTTGAGCAGTTAGCATCTGAAATGTGAACTTTGGTCTTCTTTTAAAAAAGGTAAAACAGTTGTTTTGTGTTTAAATCTAGGTGTTAGTTGTTATTGTTCTTTTTTTAAGAAAAAGGAGTGGTACATACGTGACGTGCGAGTAAAGAGGACTGAGTATGGAGACTAGTTAGTGTCTGCCCAAGGCAAGGCTGATTCTCCATTTCTTTAATTCCAAAAGCTACGTTTAATCTTGATGGGAGGCTTGGTTACAAACGGAATGAAGGCTCAGTTCGTGGATATTAATTTATTTGTTGGCTATACTTTTTTCAATGAGAGGATGGTGATGACCACATCACTGAGGACAAAATTATCTTTTCCCATTGATAATTCTATGAACACAAGAAGAACAGAATATTAGAAGTGAGAGAACTGTTCTGTTAGTAAGCTGAACAAACAGAAGCCATGTTGGGCAAAAAATCTGATGTTCGATCCTCCTGGTGTTGCTTTCCTTTCTCTCAACCCATTTGGCATGATATAGAGACAAAACAAGATCCCCATCCTGCAACTGAATCAGTAGAGACAGACCAAGGGAACCTCCACAGACCCAAGGCATTAGGGTTTAGTCTCTGCAAGTCTGTCTGGAAGAAAAGGGCAAGGGAAACCTTGGCCTGATCCTGGCTCAAAAAGTGTATCCCAACTTCACAGCAAAGGAATTTTTAGGGAGATCACTGAACTCTTGGGCTGTATATATTTAAAGTTTTTAAATACTGGATCCTTTATCAATCTAGTGTTCCAAAATCATAGGTCTTCTGGAGTCAGAACATTACAAGTTCCTCTATAATGTTGAGGCAGTTAGCAGAACCTCATCCTAAGCATGGTTGGTAATGGGTAGACAGCAAGACAACTTTTTTATGAAATTCATTTTGAGTTAGTTTATTACATGCTATTATTAATATTTTAAAACAGGATAAATATTTTTCTTTAAAAACAAGATAGCATATGTTTTTTAACAGATGACACGATTTAGCATTTTCAAAAGCATTTAATGCTTTGGGTATGAAGTTTACTCATTCTTCTGATTTATATGTTCTTTGTTACATTTTATCAACATTTTTTTCTAAAAACTAACAGGAATCTGTAAATAACAACCAGAAAAGAGTCCTATAGAAAGTTCTGTTGAAACTGATCATTAAATTATTATTAAAGTATTTGTTAACATTCATTAAATCTCAGCTACTATCCAAGCCTTTGTTGAAGAACTTGATGTTGTATTTTCAAGATGAAAACTACTTAGCTAGTTTTGTCATAATTCTGTATTCTGTATAAAAATCTTTTTATAAAGAAAGTCTAATAGGCTAACAAGCAATAATATATTCCATTTGATGTGCACAGATTGTGACTTGCAGGCTGTAGTACATATTGTTGATAAAGTATATAGTTGTCTTCATTCTTAATGACATCACTTTTTAAAAGAACCATATTAACTTTGAAGGTATGGTTAATAAAATGAAGATGGGGCTATTGCCATGTGAGAAACATTCATTATGATATACACTTGCCCATCAACATGAGATCTCTCTTAGGTTATGAATGCAACACAGCTGTAGGTAACTTCAAACTACAACTTTAATAATAGTTTCAGTGTAAACTTCATGACTGTTTCAGTCTCCCTGATGTTCTTAGGCAATTCAGTATTTGTAGTTTGATAAGGTTTTCCCACTGCCACTGCAGCGCCTCAGACTGTGAAAAACTTTGCACTCTGGGGTTATGCCAATTCTGCCCTCCAGCTGTGGTTCTCTTTAGGATACCACAGGCAAACTAAAGGCAGATTTTACTGAGTGGTATACTGAGCTGCTCATTAAAGCTTTTGTGGGGTTTTTTGTCCATTCCACAGATGACATTTTGTCATTACAAAAAATCCACCCAAGATGGAGATAAACACAACTTTGTAAAGTATAACGTGGGATAATGCATAAGCCAGTGACAGTCCCATGCAGTTCCACAGAAAGTTAGATAATGCTGGGTTCATTTAAAGACCATTCCAAAATGGCAGGACCAGAAGATAACTACATTTTAAGAATGTTTTAGTATTACAAGATGCAATGTATATTCAATGCAAAATAAAATGTAGGTCTTGCAATGAGTTTGGATGCTCCTCCATGTGAGTTCCCCCATGCATCAAGGAGTCTATGGAGAAATCCTCATGTTGATTTCAAACTTACTAAGCTCTTGGCCAGGTCTGCAATGACATGCTGGGCAGAATAACATAGCAGAATAAACTTCCATACATCAACCCCAGTGTGACAGACTAGAATGTGTATACTGTCAATAACTGAATATACCCTGGTAATAAAAAGACTGGTAGCTGACAAGCCTGTGTCCATTATCTAGGACTCCAACTGAACTAAGCTGTTATATATATGTAGTCCCGCTTCTTCTAATGGGATTATAGGTGGCTTCGACCTCCAACAATATGGCCACTATCTTGTTAACTTGTCAAATCCCCATCTATGCTTCACCCCTACATGACCAGCACCAACATAAAAATGACACTTCAGGCAGCAACAGAAAATTCCACTCCCTCCCGACACGTACACAACCTTGGCAGCAGTATCTTTTTCCCAGGGAATCTCTAACTTTTCTTTGAAGCATGAATGCTTCTTAATGGAGAGGTTGTCTTGAGGTCTTGCCCTCCCATTAACGATGGCTCAGAGGCAAATGTCCTTGCTTTGAAACACAATCTCTCCTTGGTTGCTACTGTCATCTCTTCCTGGGTAGACAATTTCTTCCAGCTTGAGCTTCTTCTAGAACAATATGTAGCAGCTGAAAACAAGGAAGAGGAAAGAAGCCTGCCAGTTCTCAGCCAGTTCTCTACACAGCACCAGCAAATGCAGCTTAGGACCTACCGGTCTGTGTCTTCATCACTTTCCAGAGCTGTAACATGAAACAGACTTCTGCAGCCCAAATATTCAGAATTTGCCTTTCTGTAGCAAGTTGCGTGCCTTGGGAGCTGTGACACAGCCTCGTCTGTGCGAAAAGGGATTACTTGAGTCCTGGCCACTGAGCAATAAGTGGTTAGGAGAGAAAACCAATCAGAAGGCCAATTTGGAACAAATCCCAGTCTTTATTCATGCAAATTCCCACTAAAACCAAGCTGAGTTGGCTGAATAATAACTGCAGCACTAAGCCTTAAGGGCCAGGTTTTAAAATGGGTTTCATTGCCTAAAGATTTAGAGAGGTTCAGACTGAGATTCTCTGCAGAACTTTAGAATATCCCGCCAGATACCTATCTGAATGTCTAGGTGCCTAAATACCTTTACAGTTTTGTCAGGTGGGTTAATACTGTTTGATCCATCACAACCTCTCACTCCTCCATTTCCACAAATCTGTCTTCTCAAGTGGAGTGTCATTTTGAGATATTTAGAGGGGAAAAAAGAGTTAGAGTAATAGAAAAGGCCCTCTCACCAAGCCATGTGAGAGGGCCTTTTCTATTAGCTGGATGGTGACACACCATGGAGTCATGGCCTGTTCTCATTCCATAAGGGAAGAAACAGTAGGCAACCCCCCCCAAGCAGGTGAATCAAGCTGCATCCCCACAGGGATTGCTCTGATCCCAAGATGAGGGTGGGGAGAGTGCATGGCAGAAAGGACTGTCTTTTTAGGCAGCTCTCCATTTTGAGTTGTAAAGGAATTGTGGGCATGGACAATTGCATTGTTGAACTAGCCAGGACTAAGGACAGTGCCATAAACTGCCACCTGCTTAGATGCAAAACTCTCAGCCATTTTCATGACAGCTTTGCCTCCAGATCAATGGCAGGCTCTTCCCCTAGGAGGAGCTTCTAGCAAGGATAGAGCAGAATCTGTGACTTCAAATTCCAGACAGACTATCAAGGTTAGAATAGATGGAATCAGGAGGGGAGCGCTCCCCCTACCAGCAATAGGGCGAGGGCAGCTCTCCCTTCACGCTTCTCTGTTCCACTCCTCTTGCCTCTCCCTCAGCCAATTCTCTCCTTTTGATAGGATTTTTCCTCCTCAAGGTCCCAGCTTTATTTCAAATGACAGAGATTGGAGGCTGATCTTGGCTCCAGGTAGGTGCCACTGAGCTGACGGTCTCACTTCTCAGCAGTGTCTGGATGCAGTAGTGGCCCCAGGAGAATGAAATACAAGTCAGCATGGGGTTGAGCCCATCATCAACCATCCTTGACCTAAGCTGCAGCTCCTGTGAGGCTTTCTGCATCACCCGTACCATTGTGCAGGCCAGGGATGGTGATGACACCCAGCTCTGTGTTCTCTAGCATTTCTACCATAGTGCAGCTACTTTCTGTCCTGTGTGGAAGAGTAGCTACCAAACTCCCTAGTGTAGATGCACACTCAAGACCTGGTTCTGCTGCAGCTGCTAAACAAATTGGCCACTTGATCTCTGGGGGACCATTCACATCAGAATTATCCACAGGAGTAAATGCTGCAAAGCCTGGTCCTTAATCTGGGATTAAAATTTAAATTACCTCGAGGTAGCATTGTGTAAGTCTCCGAAGAACCCAGCATTCTCTGTTTATAACCAGCAAGGAACTGCTGCATTCCTAGAGCATGACAACCTGATCTCTCTTTTGACTGTTGTCCAGTCTGATCTTCTTTGGTTTCCACTTGGCATCTCTGTGGTTTGATCAGTGCCCAGGTTGTCGTGCTGGTGCTCTTGCTGTCACAAGGAAAGCTGCTTTAGTTGGACAGAGACCATTTTGACTTATTTGCCACTCTCCTTACATTATGGCATTCACGGGGGAGACTGTCAAAGGGCCAAGTGGCAGCAAAATGCCTAACTCCTGTTGGCTGTTAGAGGCAGGCATCCCTGGCTGACACTTGAGCCACTAAAACGTTCCTCTGTATTTTCATGCATGACTCGGCTAAATCTCATGCATGACTGCATTGCAGGAGATGTGCAAACACACATGATCACCTTTCAGTGACCAGGAGGCTGGCATCCCAGTTCTCCAGGAGTCACAGGAGCACTGCCCCCACAGTGAATCACTTGCAAGGTATGTGGACTCCCTTGGGTGGAAACCTTTGGAGCAGATTGCTCCATCCATATCGCACTGTAGTCCGTGAAGCGTGGTGTGACCCGGCGCGCCATGCATAGCGCTGTTCGTGGGCTAGTTGTCTGTATTTAAAGGAGGGTTCTGCTGTACTTTTTTCCTGTCTGTAGGTTTTATTCAGCCAATGTGTTGACGATTGAGTGATTTACAATTCAGTGTTCAGTTAATGACAATGTTGATAATGGTGATAATAAAAACCTTTTTTTTCCTAAATCAGATTCAAGGATTTTCATTGAATACATCCATTACCTATCATAACCCATGTCCTGGCCACTAAGGTTTTGCTGGCCCAGAGTTTCAAATTGCCCATTTGTTCTCCCACTAAACACTTTAATTGTCTTGCATATGAACACAAAGTCCGACACTTCCCAGGGCTTGGACTTATCGCAGGTGATGAGCTTAGGACACTGCTGATGCCCTGTCTCAGGTAGAAATTGCCCCACACACTGCTTCCCTATCTAATCAGGTCTTGAACAACTCTGGCAATAAGGCCATAAATAATACGAATAGCTTGCTGCCTGAAATCACCTGAATCTGGAACCTGCTGGAGCGACAGCAGCAGGGCAAGTGTGTGCACTTCCAGAATGCAGCCTGATGACTCAGGTGATTCATACCTGGCTGGTGGCCCAATCACAGGCTGTTCTCTCCATGTGTCTCCTATTCAAATACATGGATTCGAGTGGACTGGACATGCAAGCAGCACACACTCAGTGTCCCTCTGCAAGCGGTGACTGGGCCTCAAGATACTACCTTTGATGGCCAAGGTAGAGCTAGGCTGGGCAGAAGAGGCATGCTGTAGGATCTTCCTGCCAGTCAACCCCTTTTCCAGGACAAATGGTAGAAGATAGGGCAAGAAAATAATGCCCCAGTCCCACTGCTGACTAGTCACAGAAAGTGTCACTGTGGGCCTGTTCAGCATAGTTTCTTGCTTCATTATCTGAGACTTTAAGCTCCCCTAGTGTATTGGGCTCATGGTCAGAGCATGGCAGAGATTTCTATGCTGGGGTCACCAGCCTGCCTTGGTGGGAGGGACATGGAGGTGGGGGAAGAATGAAAGGGAAAGAAGAAGAAAAAGAAAAGGAGTAAATGATACAGACTGAAGGTGAGAGAGGAAGGCAGAGGGAGTCTCCAACAGAGCTGATGGCTAGACAGTCCAGCCAGCCCAATCCAGTTAGATGCAGAGATCTGAATGGCTTCATCTCCTGCTGTCAAACCATCACCAACTTCCAAAAGCAACATCAGGCTCAGGCAGTTGCTAAGCGACTGGTGACCTTAACATCAATATTGCCTAGCAACTCAAGCTCGGTAACAGCAATAATAACAAATGAGCAGGTGCCCTGCCTTTCTGGGCTGTCAAATCATTACCAGCTCCATTCTGTGTTTGAGAAACATGTTCTGTGCTGTGGACGTCACACCTGTCAGTTCCCAGGGTGTTTTGACATGGGTTGCTGTGCGTTTAATTTGTGCTGCGGATGCTGCGTCTGGTGAGTGATGGCAGAGCCATTTAATGCAGTGAGCTCTGGCATAAAGTCGGGGCAAGTGGGGGGTGCATAAAGAATCCTTCAGCCTCTGAATGCTGCTCTCATCAGAGGCCCTCTGGCTCCCAAAACCAGTCACCAGAGGTTTGCTCTTAAACAGTTCACATGAAAAGGCCTGTGGACTTTGTCTTTTCACAGTCAAAGAAAAGCTGCTCTTTGCTTTGGATAATGGCTCCAAGAGAAGACGATACTGACTGCACATGGGCAAGGATTATCAAAAGTATGTTGCAGGGGTTATGGTGACTGAAGCACAAGTCACAAGCCCGAGATCAGCCTCAAAGCAGGCTGGGAAAATGGGCCCATGCCTGTGCCATGTGCATGCAAACATGGTAGCAATCCAGCAGCAGTAGTACAACTGCACAAAGGCATGGTCTGGCATGTGTGCAGTTTAAGGCCTGAACACTGCATGCCCTCAGAGGCTGGGGGGGCACAGTAAGCTCCCAGAGGCGGTGGTGGCGCTGTCGGCAGTGGGAGCATGGTGGCAGCAAGCAGGGAGCTCCCGCAGGCAGCTGCGGCACTGTCAGCAGCGGCAGGGGAAGGGGCGAGCACTGACCAGTGGTCTGTGACCACCCATGGATGCCACCGGCAGCATTGGCAGCAGCCAGCAGTGATCGCGGACCGCCCACAAACACCACTGGCAGTGTCAGCAGCAAAGTGGCGGGGGTCAGGTGGTGAGCGGTGACTGCTCGCAGGCACCGCCGGCAGTGTCGGCGGCACCTTTTTGCAGGGGGTGCACTGCCACATGCAAGGGGCATATGTACACCCGTGTACCCCCCCTATGCATCGCCAGCGGTTCAAGGTTTACCCAGACAGCTTGGGCTTTCAGGTGCTGGTCTGCTCTGGCTTATGCAGATGTGGCTGCACATTGGAGGAACCAGCTACAGAGAGGTACTTTGTCATGCTGAATTTCCAAGTTACTGATGCTCTTTTTTTCTCTCTGGGACATTCTCAGCCCTGGCATAAACAGGAGCCCAGCTCCAAGTGGAGTCAGGAGGAGTCTGGCGGCCTGCCTCAGAGCCTGTTTTCATTGGAAGATGTAGTAATTTATCAAGACTGTAAAACTGACAGGGGAGCAGCAGCCTGTTAATAACATGAAATATTATTGTGGGGGCTGGCCCCTGCACTGCCACATGCAAGGGGCATATGTACACCCGTGTACCCCCCCTGTGCATCGCCAGCGGTTCAAGGTTTACCCAGACAGCTTGGGCTTTCAGGTGCTGGTCTGCTCTGGCTTATGCAGATGTGGCTGCACATTGGAGGAACCAGCTACAGAGAGGTACTTTGTCATGCTGAATTTCCAAGTTACTGATGCTCTTTTTTTCTCTCTGGGACATTCTCAGCCCTGGCATAAACAGGAGCCCAGCTCCAAGTGGAGTCAGGAGGAGTCTGGCGGCCTGCCTCAGAGCCTGTTTTCATTGGAAGATGTAGTAATTTATCAAGACTGTAAAACTGACAGGGGAGCAGCAGCCTGTTAATAACATGAAATATTATTGTGGGGGCTGGCCCCCACCCTTTCCTCCTGCAGGGCCGTTGCAGGACCGGCACATGCTGGTGCTGTATGTGGTGGCAGCAAAGCACACAGCGGGGGCACTAGGTGCGGCACCGCGGAAGCAAGGTGTGGGAATGGCACTGCAGGACAGCGGTGCCACGGTGCTGCTGCTGTCACTGGTTGGCGCAAAATTAATTTCAGGGAGCTAAGCCCTGCTAGCCCCGGCCTTCTGCCACCTATGACAGCATCACAGAGCAAGAGGCCAAAGTCCCCTGCACCCTCATCTCCAAGCACTTGCCCTAGGCCACCAGCCCTGTCTCCTGTACAGAAAG